ACAGGCATTTTCAAATTAAAAAAATGGAGATGCAAGGTTTTGTCCCAATAGCAGCGACATATTTTATGTCTTACACATATAGAATATTAATAGAAATTATGCGTTAAATCTGTTAGAGGATGTGTTATTTTCACTTAAAAAATCAGCAAATCATGTCATTGACTGTAGGTGTTTAAACGCCTGCATACACTGGTAGATTTGGTAACCAAGCACACATTTTCTGATACTTTTTGACTTACTAAGGAAGTGTGGGTCAGATGTATGTACAAGGGCAGGCACAGCACAAAATGTGCCTTAATGTGACCATAATTTGTTCTCAAATTTATACCCGCTTTAAAACAAAGGAAACAATTCCAAAACCAGTCGCTGCAAACAGCTCTTAGTAAACTGAGCTGTAATATGTAATCAGACGCAAAGTAGCTCCAAAAGTGAACATAACTCACATTTAGAGTTTCTATTCCACAGCCTGCTTTTTCATTTTCCACAAGGATCAAAACAAAAATTCATAATACTTCATAATAAAATGAGTACATCAGTTGTCGGTACTTAAGAAAGTAATAAACAGTACTAAATGTATTAAATGGTTAAGCAATGTAACAATTTATCATAGAAATAGGAGCTAATGTCATTTTAGATCGTATTAAGTCGTTTATGGTCATTACTAAATGCTTAAGTAATATCTCAATTAACCATTAACTACTGATACTCTGTGTTCATACAGTAGATATTTAAGACTTAATTAAGACCTTAGGTGACATTATTATAGACTTCAGTAAATTGTTCAGTAATGCTTAGTTCCTACTGTCCCAAATGTTTAGTCACATTCATTTAAAAATTAATTTAAAAAGATGGTTCTTCAGGCGTTCTTTAATAAAGAGAGTGGTTCTTTTTAGAACCATGAACACTCAAAGAAAATTCCATAGTAGGAACTCTGGGTCTAAGCTGGTTGTCTCTCTGAGAAAAATGAATGGCAGTTTTGATTTATCGCCATTGTCTTACCCATAGTACAAACTTAGAAAGATGGTTCTTCAAGGGTTCTTTATTAAAGACAATGGTTCTGTTTAGAACCATGAGCTCTGTATAGAACCATTTCATGCTTAAATGGTTCTTTGCATGGCGAAATGGTTCTCCGGATTGGCTGAGAATGTGCTGTATATGGTTCTATATAGATAAATATAGTAAAAATGGTCCCATATAGCACCAAGGGTTGTGCTGTTGTGACAATGTCAAGCTCGTAACAATAGAAGAACCCTTTTTGGTGCTATATAGAACCATACACAACACATTCTCCATCAGTCTGAAGATTTCATCATGCAGAGAACCATTTAATCATGCAAATAGTTCTTTGAGTGTTAATGGTTCTTAATAGAACCATTGGTCTTTACAAGCACCCTTAAAAAACGTATAATATGGTATTGATCACTATTATCATTAGTTATTGATTCATTAAGACATTACTTAACCATTTGGTAATGGTTACTGGTTAAGCGTTCTGTTTATTGATGTACTCTTACTGTAAATTGTTCCCCAGTAATTTATTTGTTTTGGACAATTTTATGCTTTATTAAGCAGGTGTTTATTAAGTGGCTGAATGGAGTGCTGTGTGTTCTTGATTGAAGTCCTGGTTTTGGATTATATTCGCAGTGAAAGTCAATCCAATACATTAGCCCCCATATTTTTCCCCCCAGTTTCCTTAGAGATGATGTGTTGTCGGCACACTGCCAGCCCACTCCATCACTTCACAGCCTCAGCTAAGAGACTTAGCCAGAAAATAGATATCAGCCATGTTCCTCCGCTTGAGTCTTGACTGCCTGGCGCTTCTCGGAGTGGGAGAGTGGGGAGGGAGAGTCGGTGGGCGGGGGTGCAGTGATGGTAATCGAAAGCGAGCTGCATTTTCAGCGTGATTCAGTCCACTCTGTTCGCCTGTACAGGGAGATTAAGTCATTCGGAGCCATACTGCTCACGCTCAAGAGCATGTTTACAGAAGCATGACCTTCTGTGGATGGAGACGCCCGCCGGCCTGGAGGGAATCGATACCGGTCCTCCACAGGTTTTCACGCCAGCCGTCTAATCACTGAGCCGCTCGGGAAAAGCCGTGACACGGAGAAAGCGGCATCGTCTCTCGATTGTTCTTCGCACTTCACGAAGCTTTGTTGAGGCAGCGTTGAATATGCATGAGCTCAAATGGTAATAATCCTAATGAGGCATCAACACTTCTGTAAATAAATCCTCTGGAGAAGACAACAGCAATCCAGCAGGAGAACCAAGTGGAACATGAGAGGGGTTGTTTTTGTAATCTTGAACGTAAGGTAGCGCTTTATTTGAGCCTAAAATAGGGACTTCATAACACATGCATAAGCACTGAATAACATATTTATAAAGGAATACTTGAGTATTTATGAAAAATCTCAAGTTAGGAAATCTTAACCTACTCGACCGAAGTTGTATCTGTTTCCGAGCAACTGACCATACACACACAGCTGAAACGTAAACACGTAATCAAAATAATGTTAAAAGTGTGAGTCACAGCTACCGTTACTGATGTAAAGAAGGTCAAACAAAACTAAAGTGTGATAAACTGCTGTTTATCAGAGCGTCACCGCTCCACAGTTTCAGTCTCCATTTCCCAAACGCTTTAGCCGAGCGCGCTAACGTTACTCCTCCTAATAAACAGACACACGTTCAGCTCCGTCTCCTCATTATTCACCACCATCACTGTAATATTTCATCATCAACATTAACACACGAAGGTGATCAGAGGGGCGGTGGAGATCGAGTCTGCAGCGTCTGAGATCTTTAAAACGCAGAGTTAGAAAAGAAAATCATCTCACAGTGAAAGCAGCGTTTTACAGTAGAAATAAATGGAGCTCATTATGCTGGTAGTGAACTATGCTGCTGACTCAGCTGCCTAAAAACCATAGAAACGGACCTTAAACAGAAGTGAGGACCCTGTTGGGGTTCATCCTAAAGTTAGGACAGGATTTAGGAGGTTTAGTCTAGTTAGGATGTTTGTGTGATGCTGTTTTCTTATCTGGAGTTCATGATGAGATTATGAAGTTAGGAACTGTTATTGTGGAATAGCTACTGTCCTGAATTCAGTCGTCATGGAGACTAAACAGATCAGATTTCAGAGTTAGGACGTTTCTGGAATACGGGCCCAGTTTACTGAAGGTTTTTCCAGCTGTATTTTTACTGTTTCTTCAAGCGTCACCATCTGCGCTGTAAAAAACATGAACAATCTCGTAATTAGCTGTGCTTATCATCCTGCTTGGTGTAAATTAATTTAGCCAACCCAGATACGTCTTGCTGGCAGCTTTAGACGCATGAATAATTCTTCACTATGTGCTATATTTTTTATCTTCTGACCGCATACTTTATCTAAAGTCTTAAACGTAAAGACTTATTAATAGCTCCATTCTGCTGCGTACCTTCTCTGTGTGCTCCTGAGAGAGCTGGCAGAGAGAGGTTTGGTCTCTGTAAATGGAAAGGAGGAGTGGAAATCTGGTGGGCCTCCAGCACTGGCAAGCCTTCCACCATCTAATTAAACTTTAATGCACAGACTGCCGGCGAGATGGCAACTGATGCTTTACCCATTTAATGGATTTCACTCATTGACCAGTCACGCTTGTTGTGATTAGGTGCAATGTGGCACACATATGCCTCAATCAGTGGGATCTGGCTTTTTGAACAGGACAGATTTAGCATAAAGGATATTTATGATCAGATACTTGTTAAAAATAACATGGATGTTTTATGGAGTTAAATAGGTTCAAGTAGAACATGTTTATGGTCATGTTTTGTGTTCCTACACCAGCATTATCTGTGAATATTGACAGGAGTTGTGCAGATATTTGTCCAGATTCACTGTGACGACTGTATTGGAGCCATTATAGTAACTGTATTTATTGTAAATGTTTTCATCATAAAGTCACAGACAGACTAAGGTACAGCCTCCACACGAGGGGGTTAGTTTAACACACTGCTACAACTAAGACCCCCAAAATAAACAAATCAGAAGTGTGTATATTATATGCCCCCATATACGTTTAAAACAGCTCATGTTTTGGTAGTTTTTACACACATGTGCATGAAAACATGCTATGGTTTTCTACATCCCCTTCCTCCACAGAGTTTAATACTGCTTAGGCCAGCTCTAATTATACTGAGACATCTGAAGCATTTAGAGCTTGAAACACAAACTTATTTCATGTGATTATTTTAGTAAAGACTAACGGTATTATTGAAGAAGGCTGTTGGCCCTTCAGCTGTCTGCTGAGGAACAAGGTAAACAATGACAGACCTCCATATCTCCCAATACTTGTTCGAAAGAGTCATTTATTTTGCAGTATTTTATGAACAACTTCAGGAAAACAACTCTAAATCATACCAAGTTATTTAAAAAAAAAATCTATTTCATGATGCATTGAAATATTTTCTGATATATATATATATATATATATATATATATATATATATATATATATATATATATATATATATATATATATAGTGTAAGTCAATGGAACCAAATTCTTCCCAAGTAATTTTGAGTCATTTCTTTTGGTCCATTCTTCATGAAATTTACACACAATGTAAAGAGCAACAGGTGTTTTCAAATAATGTCAAGAACTGAAAAACAATGCAGATACGAGGTTTTGTTCTGACAGCAGTGCTAATATGTATATATATATATATATATATATATATATATATAATTTTGCAAAAATGTTTCTTGCAAATGTGTTTAAATTTATTCCTCTATCTGATGTTTGCACACTTACAAATCCTCAAGACAAAACACAGAGATTTCAGCCAACACTGCAGATGAATCTTAATTTCAGCTCATTTTATTGACTAAACGACACTTCGGCCAGACCCTTGTTGACAGCTTTCATACAGTAGCAGAGAGTTAGACAGGTGGAGGTAGTTGGGATTGAACATTGGGTTAAAAATAAAATACAAAGTCTTAAAAAGTGAATGTTTTTTTCCCCCACTTGCAGGAGTGACCACTGTACTGACCATGACCACCCTCAGTATCAGCGCCAGGAACTCTCTGCCCAAGGTGGCCTACGCCACCGCCATGGACTGGTTCATTGCCGTCTGCTACGCCTTCGTCTTCTCTGCCCTCATCGAGTTCGCCACCGTCAACTACTTCACGAAAAGGGGCTATGCCTGGGACGGGAAAAGCGTGGTGCCAGAGAAGGTACGTCACTCAGTTACTTAGTCCAACAGAATAATTCTCTACTAAAGAACCCCTGAAGCACTTTAAGAGTGTCCAACATCTCATAATGAGTAATCTCAGGCACCTTGGCTTGATTTAAGATGATTTCACTCACCAAGAAAACATATTTTTCAGTAAAAACCATCTTCTTGCTAAGCTAACCTGCCCACCACTAACCCTCGTTACAGCAAAAGAAGAAGAAGGAGTCCCTGCTGAAGAAAAACAACACCTACACTGCTGCCACGGCAACAGCCTTCGCCCCCAACATCGCCAGGGACCCTGGTTTGGCCACCATTGCCAAAAGCGCACCCCCACCACCCACCGAACCCAAGGAGGAGCCCAAGCCAAAGCCGCCGGAGGCGAAGAAAACCTTCAACAGCGTGAGCAAGATCGACAGGATCGCCAGAATAGCTTTCCCTTTGCTCTTCGGAACCTTTAACCTGGTCTACTGGGCAACCTACTTGAATAAAAAGCCCAAACTGCAAGGCGCCCTGCAGCCCCACTAATCCTCGTCCATCCTTTTGTTCTCTTTCTTTCTTTCTCTTTCTTCTTTTTCTGAATGTCTCTTTACAAGTAAAACAAAAACAAACTGTGTCAGTAGTGGTCGAGTCCCCCAGTCTCCACTTTGCTCCTGTGTAACATATCTTCCTAGTTTAAAAAAAGAAAGAAAAAAACAGATTGGAAAAAAGACTCAATCTGCAATATGTGCTAAACGTGCTTTTTTAAAAAGAAAATACATGAATATTTCACTTTGAACATGTGCTATTAAAAAAGGAAAAAAATAACGTATACCTGTGTATATATACTGTATATAAGCAGTATATATCTTGCGCAAGAGATCATTCTACAAACGCACATACAGTAGAGTTACAATGGAAAAGGGGATCCTTCTACTTTTGGTTACTCGTTTATCTCAACGTCGTCGCATTACGCTTTCGTCCTGTACAGAGTTTTTTGCATGGGCTGAACTTTTATTTTGTTTTTTTCTGTTTCTGTGACCAGCTACCGTCTGGCAATCGACTAAAAAACGATGCTACCTTCAATCACGGTTGAGTGTTCTTCCATTCTCTGTAGTAGACCAGAGCTTAACCCACTTATGTTTTATATTCAAATAGGGTTTCAATAGCAATAAAAACAAACATGTCTCAGTGGACAAGAAGTCACTCATTTTAAAGATATTAAAGACGTAGAACCATCCGCTGTTATGTATAAGACTATTTATTTAGTTCTAATGTAAATATTACAAAAGTTAGAGATGTCAGTATTAAGTTGTGACTAACCTCAGAAAGTGGACGAAGAGAGCCTTTGTATTTTGCGTTGAGGGATGTTTGTGTAAAAATAAAGAAGCATTTAAGTGACTTTTTTTTAAGTAAACGAGTTGGTGACCCGTTAAATGCCAGTTTAGGTCTAGTATGGAAGTGTAAATTAGCGAGATGTCCTCTCGAAGGCGTGTTCAGGACGGGCTAGACTTTAAGAAAGAATGTAAAACTGTAATATTGTGGGAATGCATTTTATATTAAGTATTAAATCACAGTTCTTTATGTTGGTTTATGGTTTTCATGGCACAGTTGCACGTTAGGGACACGTAAGATTGCGAAGACGACATTGCGTTCTGCTGTTTCTTGCTGCTAGCCGCTAGCGCTACATTAGAGAGAATGCACTGGACGTTAAGAGCAGTGCCTTTTCGATACTCGCTGAAAGGGTACTTCCTAGGTGGCGCTCTACTTTCAGGTTTTTGTGCGTTGGTTGTCTCTGGTTGACCTTTCGAAAACATTACTCAGAAAGTACCAGCTACACTGCCTTTTGTCTCACATGCCGTTTGAAGATGAGCCTGTTCTGTTCTGTTCTGGATGCTATCCGTGGTGAACCATTAGCCATGCAGGCTAGTGCAGTGTTTTTACAGGCTGTACCATAGTGGCAAATCTGTCATTTCTTTCAATAAACACTTTACTGTAGGACAGTGTTCATAAGGCTACATAACACCTATATGAACTCATCATGACAAATGACATAAACCTTCGTAAACATTTATAAAAGTTTGCGTAACACTTTACTGTAGGGTACAATTCATAAGGCTACAAGACACCTACATAAGCTTGTCACGACAACTGACATAACACTACATAAACGTTTATTAATGCTTATTCCAATAGACATTATTTGCCCTAAATGTTACATTTGCCAATTGTGATCAAAGTAGCCTTTGTGACAGATGACGTCTATTCGAATATGCATTAATAAACATTTATGTAGGGTTATGTCAGTTCACATGAGAAGCTTATGTAGGTGTCGTGTAGTCTTATGAACTGTACACTATAGTAAAATGTTACCAAAGTTTGTTCCAATAGGCATCATTTGTCATAAAGACTTTGATGCCAAGTGTATGTAACAACTACACTCTTTATGGTTCTTCAAGTGTTCTTTAGTAAAGAAAATGGTTCTATATGGAACCGTAAACATGCAAAGACCACTTTAATCATGATTAAAAAGTTTTTTTACATGAAGTGGTTCTTCAGACTGATGGACAATGTGTTGTATATGTTTCTGTATAGCACCAAAAGAGTTCTTCTGTTGTTACAAGCTTGACATTGTAACAATAGCAGAACTGTTTTGGATGCTATATAGAACCCTTTCCAAAAAGGTTCTATGTAGAACCATATACAACACATTCTCCATCAATCTGAAGAACCATTTCATCATGCAAAGAACGCTTTAAGCATGCAAACTGTCTTTGAGTGTTCATAGTTCTATACAGAATCACAGTCTTTACTAAAGACCTCTTAAAGAACCATCTTTGAGTGTATGCTATATGGCCAAAAGTATGTAGACACTCGACCATCACACCTATATAACTTGTTGGACGTCAGATTCTAAATCCGTAGGCATTAATATGGAGTTGGTCCCCATTGGCAGCTCTAACAGCTTCCACTCTTCTGGGAAGCTTCTACAAGATGTTGGAGAGAGTCTGTGGGAATTTGTGTCCATTCATCCAGAAGAGCATTTGTGAGGTCAGACACTGATGTTGGACGAGAGGTTCTGGCTCACAATCTTCTAGTTCATCCCAAAGGTGTTCAGTGGGGTTGAGGTCAGGGCTCTGTGAAGGCCACTGGAGTTCCTCCACACCAAACTGGTCACTCCATGTCTTTATGGAGCTGCTTTGTGCTCAGGGTCTCAGTCATGCTGGAACAGGAAAGGCTCTTCCCCAAACTGCTGACACAAAACTGGAAGCAGATAACTGTGTAAAATGTCTTTGTGCTGCAGCATCAACATCACCCTTCACTGGAACTGAGGGGCCCAAACCCTGAAAAACAGCCCAGCCCATCATCCCTCCTCCACCAAACTCTACTGTTGTTCACTCCGGTAGGTAACGTTCTCCTGGCATCCACCAAACCCAGATTCATCCTCAGACCGACAGATAGAGAAGCTGATTCATCACTCCAGAGAACACGGTTCCACTGCTCCAGAGTCCAGTGGCGGAGCTTTACACCCCTCCAGCCGACACTTGGCATTGCGCATAGTGATCTTAGGCTTGTGTGCAACTGATTTCATGAAGCTCCTGATGCTCAGTTCTTGTGCTGATGTTGCTTCCAGAGGCAGTTTGGAGCTCTGTAGTGAGTGATGCAACAGAGGATAGATGATTTTTACCCCACTCTGTGAGTTTGAATGGTCTACTGCTTTCGTGTTTGAGCTGTTGTTGATCCTAAACAGTTCTGTTTCACAATAATCATACTTACAGTTGGGCAGGTCTAGCATGAAGACTTGTAGCAAAGGTGGCATCCTATGACAGTGCCATATTTATGGTCAAAGAGCTCTTCAGTATGACCCATTCTACTGCTGGTGTTTGTCTATTGAGACCGCAAGGCTATGTGCTTGATTTTATACACCTGTTCGCAATGGGTGTGGCTGAAACACCTGAGCTCAATAACTAGGAGAAGTGTCCACATACTTTTGGCCATAACTGACCCGATATAATGTTATGTCAACTTGGCATCGAAAGTTAACAAATGCTACCTTTATAACAAACAACACATACTGGAAGTGTTTATGAATATTCATATAGGTTTATGTCAGTTGTCATGACAAGCTTATGTAGGCTTTGTTCAGCCTTATTAACACTGTCCTACAGTAAAGTGTTACCTTTGTTTTTCTGTAGCATGATGTCAGTCCCTTTTTAACAAGCACTTATGAATCAAAAACAAACATGTAAAAGCTCTTTTTTTGTTGTTGTTTTGTCTCCTGCAAGAAACACTGATGTTATCATATCTTATTTCAATTACTTTGATGTAGCAATATCAGAATAGTAAGGGCTTTTCACGATCAAACTTTAGACTATGGTCATTCTGTTCATTTGGGGTCAGTTTATGTAGTAGCTTTAAAAAAAAACATTTTTTTGGTCAATATTTTTGTTTTTTTGTGCTCCGAGTTTCAGTAGCTATAGTATATATGCTAAATATATGCTAATATTATTATTGAAATAATGAAATGGTTTATGTATGGGATGTTTTGGATGAGTTAAACAGTTAAACGACACCCAAACCCACTGTATAATTTGCTGTAGATGTTTGCTGAAGGATTATTTTTGAGCAAAATGGGAAAAAAAGGGCGGGACTCGTGACTGGCGATGAAATGCACTCTGGGATTTGTAGGATGATCCGTATGCAAGTGGACAGTGACAACATATTCCATCATCAGAGACTGCTTTTTGGAGCCAGACTCTTCTGAAATGCTTTATAAACATGAGTATATATATATATATATATATATATATATGAAAAGAGAGTTATGCCTAAAGAACAAAAGGTGGTTCATACGGGGAAAATATTATATATATAAATATAGAACACACTGCATATATAAATACTCCATGATGATACTTGTTCTAAAGATAATAAATATTGTTTGTACCAACCTATTGTTATGCATTTTGCACATTAGAGGCATAATTTACATTTATGTAGTGAGCTTTGTGCTATGCAAGGATAGCTTTGAACCATGCTAATTAGCTTTCTCTCCCCCTTACTCATTGTCTTTCAAATGAACAAAAATACTGTAAAGGAAAAGGAGCTCAACTCTTTTATGAACCATGCACCCTATTTAGCTGTGGATATTTTTTGCCAGTCAATAATAAAAAAGAGATATAAATAAATAAACAAATACAATTCTCTTTATTTCTGATCGCAGGACTAGCTGTGCAGAGTCTGCAAGGATGACTTTTGATGGAAGATTGAGTTTCCATAGAAACGTCACAAAGAAAATTCACTAATTTCTCCATAACTCAGTGTGTGAAATGTAAACAGAGAGGTTCAGAGTGGTTTGGTGTGAGATGGTTCAGATGTCTTTACAGTGGTGGTGATAGGAACCAGGGGTCGCCATGACTACAACACAAATATAGACATTTTATTTACTATCCAGAACCACCAGTGAACCTACACGAGTCTTCTGAGTTTATATGGAATGTTGATGATGAAAATAGTGGAAAATCTGAAATAATAAGTTTTCTTTGGGGACTATTTTGCCT